CCTGTTTTCCAGCATTTGAAATTACGAAGGTAACAACTGCGACTAAAAAAACGTAGGGCAAATATTGACGCGGAAGGGGTGTATCGCCTGATATCCTCCATCCAATTTGCCACCAAATCGCGTGAAAATTAATCAGTGGGTAATAAATATCCTTTTATATTTAAAAATTGTTTATTTTAGGGATAGACCTCGCTTTTAAAGGGCTTACCGGCATGATAACCCACACGGGATGCTGGGAAAACACTCGAAAAGCTTGTAAATCATGGGCTGAAGGCGGGTGATTTACAAGCGTTTCGTGTGTTCTCCCAACATCCCAACTGGGTTATCACGCCAGTTAACCCATAGAAAGTGGGGTCTACTGGGTTTATAAAATAACTTCAAGTAAACGGAATCCTATGCGCAAAAAAAGTTGTTTTATTACTGTGATCAAGTCGCGTCTTTTCTCTAAAGTCAACATAAGCCAATGACAACTCACGATGTAATCTAGCGTTCAACTTTCTCAAAACTCAGTTTCATCAGACAAGAAACAGCAGCACCTCAAGATACAACTTTTCTGCACTCATCGAGAACAAATGTAAGCTGTTTTATGGGAAAAGAAAACATACATTCACGCGAATGTAGAATGAAAAAATACGATCATGTTTTTTTAATACAGACGATTCATGACAAACTTTTGTTGAGTCGATCGGTACAAATTTTGTAGGCTGGCGTACGGAACTCGCAGCCATTGTGATGAAGGCCTTCACTCCATTTTTACAAGTTCCATTGGTTCAAGATTCAAGAACTGTTGTTTGGACTCTTTCAGGATCAACAACTGCTGCAGTAACGATGTGGCAGCATTTGCAAAGATTGTCAATGTATGGATCTTCAGCGATCGACGGCATGCCAGTGGTAGCTCTAAATTTGGAAGCAGGATTCGTTGCCGTGGCCAGATATTGGAGTTATTGTTTCTCAATTTGTGAAGCCAGATGATTTGAAGAAGATTATGGCATTGACATTACCGAATAGTTTGTGCAAATATTGGGGACAAAACACCGCGAAACTGGCGTCCAGTTGAAGAATGCTTGAAATGAACTCACGGTTTAAATTTGTTGCGGGTTTTCTAAACATGGAATTCACACAGTTGTTGTTTTTGCAATTTCGCATCCTCGCCAAATATGAATTAAACTGCTTTCCAGCTTTGTATCTGATAATTTGAAATAGTGGAACTCAGGGATACAGTGCAAAAAAAACAAACGATTTTTCAAAGAGAGGGAGAGAGGGGGTGGATACGTAAATTATTCTGTTTTTTAGCTTTTCCAAATCGCATGGTCTGGATGCCTTTTTCTGAGTTTACCGGTATAATAAACCATAGGTTTTTGACCAATCAGAATGCAAGTACTCTCTCAGTTATTTTATAAATACAAATAGGCATTACAGGAGAATTCCCAAAAAAATCCTGAAAACACGCAATTCAGTGGCATTTCATTGTTATAGTGTTGTGCCACTTAAGGTGGTTGAACACAGTTTTGTCAGTTATCTATTATGTGTCATTTGCCAAATCTTGGCACGAGAAAGGTTACACCTCACAAGCTGAAACTTGGCAAGTGAAAAATATACTGATGAAAGATTTTGAGCTAAAACGTGACGTTTTCCTAGTTTCCATGGCAACATGAACGATTGTATACAACCTTAAAATTTTACTTTTGCTCAGTTTACATAATATTCGCTCATTAAATTTTCCTATGAACTTGCACACAGCTTACTATAATTAATTACCATTTGAAACGTATTTGACCAAATTTTAACATACGGGTTTTTAGATAATCAATAATGTAATTGTACTGTAATTATTAAATGTGTCACAAAAATTCGTCTGTTCAACTTCCATTTTAAAATTCTCATTATTTAAAATACGATAGGAGTAAAAATTCTGCAAAATATCACAAAATTTTCATGAGTAGATTTTGAGAAAGCGTCTTATGTGCACCATTGCTTTTTTCGCCGCCAAGTTTGTTTGTCTAATTTAAAACACGCGCCGTCACGCGAGTTACCGCTGACTGCCCGCAAAACTGTATTCAGCCACCTTAACCAGACACTTTGCACACGTATACTCCGCAAAATTATGAAATAATGAAAGAGGGTAAATGCTCCCGTTTTCAGTCTTCTAAGACCACTATAATCTCCAATCATGTCCAGTGATTCCATATCAACCCAAACAGGACATAAGTACTTCATCCAATTACACAGAGCTGAGGGAGTATGCAATACTGAACATCATGCTATATGTACATGTTTTATACACTGGCCAGTGGTACCTAACTGGACTGGAATATCCGTTTATCGGTTTACCTTGCCATGATAAAATTAATGGTGATGAAAGTTTCCTCTGATATGGGAAAAACTGTCTAAAATCCACTGTGTTTGAAGTGTCCATACACCTTTGCGAGAATATTGAAGAGGAATAGGATGACAATTTGCCTAGTCCCTAGGCCTCATTATTATGCGCAGCCGATGCGTTTCGGGTCACGCGGTCCGAGAAAGTTTTTGAGGCCTAGACAACCTCGAAGAAGTGAGACATTTTGTCTCACTTGGGGTGGAGCTTTTGGAAGCGGGCGAGCTGTCAATAACTTTTCCGCGCTGATGAAAGATGTCCAGCAGCCATGGAGAGTACAGAGGATAAAGAGTTAACCCGAGCATTTTTATTCTATGCACGTTTTCATTGTTGAAAGTCCTTTGGCCTTTCTTTTTCATTTATCTCATTAAACTAATTTGAACTTTATTTCATCTCAAAAACTATTGTAGGCTAAGCAAAACAGCGTCGCAAAAAAATTATTTGATCAAGAATCGGAATGTAAGCTAAAGAAATGAGTTTATATTTATTCTTGCATATGAAAAGCTATCTTTCGTTTCTCTATTTTCGCTTGCTCCTATAAATTTCTCGTTATCATTTCACTTCGAAATATTTTATGTAATTTAATTTTTGGATTTGGAAGCTTATCAAACTAATCGGACAGGCTGTTGAATTTGGTCTCTAAATTTGGTAGAATGTCAACAAACTACTGTTTCAAATCTTTTTATCAGTAAAGAAATATCATTTTAATAGTTCATTTGAAAATGAACTAAAAGAGAAATTACTTGCACGTTATACAGTAGTATTCTTTCTGATTCAAAGTAATATTTTTGTTCTTTGATAACAGAAACCAGGTTAGCGCCGATCTTTAAGCGAAGGATATTCACGCGCAAAGTTATTTACAGATTATTTCAGTTGAACGTGGGAACGTTTCAAAAATGCTCACGCATGCGCACTCCGACATTGTCTAGGCGTCTCCCGGCCGTTCGTCTCGGATACGTCACCGAAATGCATTGACCGAGAAAGGCCTGGAAAGACGCTGTATAGGGACTAGGCAAGATGACAATGATAAACAAATCTTACTTCCACAAATACTTACAGAAACACCAAGGCTAAGGATAGGAGAGGGGTATTCCATACTGTGAACAACTGTGTAATCTTGAATATCATAGATTTTAACGTGCCTGCAAGAAAATGTTTTGGGGGAATTTATCTAAAACATTAATGGTACAAGTAGCTAGGGCACGTTATAGCCAAATAACTTATTAAAACCGTGACCCTATTCAACAATAGTAGCAATCTACCTACCGTCGATCTTCACATGATGCGACGAACTAAACTAATAAATTAAAAATTTGTACGATAATGTATATTTAGCCACGTTCGGGAATTCAAGATTTGTTTATTGATGATTATTTAACAACGGCATTTGAAGGCCCTGAAGTATCTTTAGTAGAGCTGTCCGTAACTCGCTGGTTTTCTACATGCAAGTTCAATTCCTATTTGGCTATTATTATCGTCAAAACCATTAATGTAAATGTCTATCACCGGAAATAAGTTAAGAAAAACAACGGCTAGAATTTTATGAGATGTGTAATCAATGACTAATAGATGGATGATCCCTTAGATAATCGATGAGTAATCGAACGCATCAATTACTCAGTGATGACATCAATGAGTAATCAGTAGGCCACAAAATTCTGGCCATCGATTAGTCTTCGATTACTCATTGATTATAGCAAATAATCCATGACTAATCAGTTGATTACCCAATGATTAATCATCGATTACTCATTGAAGTCATTCATCATCGATTATTTATGTCTGGTTGAGAAGGGAGTGATTAGAGATTTCAGGAATCAAAGAGACGAGCGACTGTCCACCCAAAGCCATTGTCAACTCCGTCCACAAAGCCTTACATGTTCCAGTTAGTGAGCAAGATATATCTACTGCACATCCTATTCCATCCTAAAATGCTGCTGCTCCACCAAAAATAATTGTAAAATTTACCCTTCGAATCGTGAGGAATACCTTTTATTCAAATCGATCAAAAAACGCAAGAACGCTTGTGATCTTGTGATGGTGTGATGTAAATAAACTGTCAATAAATACGGCAATAACTAATTTTATGATAATTAAGTCCACTAAAAAGGATATGTCAGTGAATATTCAGATTAATAAATAAGGATGGAACGTACTACGCTGTGTCCGAAATGGTTAATCTAAGCGGGATTGTTCCCTGCGCCAAAGGGCAAATATCCATGCAGAACAACCAGTTATCCCACACAAGATGGAATCGGGATCAATTATTCAGGAATTGCTTTTCCAATCCCTTTCAAAGACCTCGAAAAGCTGGAAGTGCAAAATGAAAATATTGCGCTCAATGTTCTTGGTTGGAAGGAAAGAGTGACTGTGTACAGAATAAGTGAAAACCCAAAACAGTTTTCTCGGATAAACTTACTGATGACCACATCTGTAGATTCGTGACATTTTTCCTTTGTGAAAAGCATCAGCGCTTTGTTGTACGACCAAACGAGGCATAGAGGAAGGAAACACTTTTGCCATCGGTGTATGTCAAGCATTACAACAAAAGGAATCCTGCAAAAGCACGAAGAGGCCTGCAAAGGAACAAAGAGCAGGCCAATGAGAACTGAAATGCCCAAACAGGATGAAAACCGGAAGTAACCAAAGTACCCTTCATTATTTATACATGTACAAGTTGGTGAAAAGCAATGGAGAAGCCACGGAAATAAAACTCTACCATAGGGAAAACGCTTTAGAAGAGTTTCTGAAATTACTTTTCCAACAGGAGGAAAGGATCAGAGAAGAATTGAGAAAAGTTGTTCCCATAAAAATGATTGGGAAGATTTCAACATGGCAACCAATTGCCACATCCGTGAAAAGCCTCAGGTGATTGAGTCCTTTTTGGATTCCATGTCTGTTTACGATCCCAACATGGAGTACTGCCAGCAGGCACACAAAAGGTGCCATTTCAAAGACAAATTTATGAGGTCCAAATTTCAACGCAAACCACTCGACAAAGTGGATTAAAGACAATCAAGAGGATTGTACATACTGCTCCNATGTACAAGTTGGTGAAAAGCAATGGAGAAGCCACGGAAATAAAACTCTACCATAGGGAAAACGCTTTAGAAGAGTTTCTGAAATTACTTTTCCAACAGGAGGAAAGGATCAGAGAAGAATTGAGAAAAGTTGTTCCCATAAAAATGATTGGGAAGATTTCAACATGGCAACCAATTGCCACATCCGTGAAAAGCCTCAGGTGATTGAGTCCTTTTTGGATTCCATGTCTGTTTACGATCCCAACATGGAGTACTGCCAGCAGGCACACAAAAGGTGCCATTTCAAAGACAAATTTATGAGGTCCAAATTTCAACGCAAACCACTCGACAAAGTGGATTAAAGACAATCAAGAGGATTGTACATACTGCTCCAAACGTTGCATTGCTCTAACTACAGACACACGGTGAGGGACCACCGCCACGTGACTGGGAAATATTGTGGAGCAGCCCACTCTGCATGCAATTTGCAACTCTGGATAAGACCGCAACAAGACCCTATTCCTATGGTTTTTAACAATCTCAAGGGTACGATGAACATCTCCTTCAGGAGATATCGAAAATAAAAGACAGGAAACTGGAGTGCATTCCTCAAAACATGGAAAAGTATATCAGCTTTTCTTTGGGAGGGGTCCAGTTCATCGACAGTTTGAACTTTTTGCAAGCATCATTGTATTCTCTTGTAAATAATCTTCCAATGAATGCTTTCGTGCACACCAAAGAATTAGCAGGAATGAAGAACAGCGAGACACGTTACAACAGATTGGGGCTATCTGTACCAGTACATGGATAGCTGGGAAAGGTTCGAGGAAACCCAACTGCCTTCACAAGCCCAATTCTACAATTTGCTGAATGACAAGCACATCACGCAAGGTACAATTCAAACGTGCAAAGAAAGTGTGGAAAACTTTCGGGCAGGAGACCCTGAGGGATTACCACGATCTCTATCTGAAAACGGACGTCTGCTTGTTGGCGTACATTTTTAAAAACTCTGAACCCTATAGTTGAAACCGTACAGGCTGGATCCAGCACACTACCATACATCGCCGGGCCTGCCTTGGGACACAATGCTAAAAAAGATAGGAGTGCAGCTGGAGCTGTTGACAGATGTGGACATGTATCTGTTCATTGAGCAAGGGACCTGTGGTGGAATCTCGATGGTGAGCAAGCAGTATGCAAAAGCCAACAACCCGTGTGTGAAAGATTACGACCCAAGCAACCCAAACAACTACAATCAATATATTGATGTGAATAACCATGACAGTTGCGCCATGTGTAAACCATTGCCGAAAGGGGAAGTTTGAATGAAAGACTGTAATGCCAACGGAGGGGCAATTATGTGCATGCAACACGCAAGGTGAAGATAGATTCTCGAGGCGGATCTGGAGTACCCAGCAAAGCTGCATAGAGCCCACAATGGATATCCACTTGCCCCAGAGAAAAAGAAAATCAAGAGAGAATCGATGTCTGATTACCAAAAAACGTGATGGATGAGTTGGGGCTGAAACACAACGAAACAGAGCTTGTCTTGACGCTGGAAGACAAAAAGAACTACCTCGTGCATTACAGAAATCTGCAGTTTTATCTCAATCAGGGGATGAAACTCAAGAAGGTTCACAGGGTGTTGCAGTTTGACCAAGAGTGCTGGATGGAGCCATACAACCGAATGAACACAGGATTTCAGAAACAGGCCAAAAACAAGTTTGAGAAGAACTTTTACAACCTCATGAACAATTCCGTGTTTGGAAAAACAATGGAGAATGTGCAGAAGCAAGTTCACATTGTCTGCGGAGATGAAAGCGAAAAGATTTGCAAACTCATAGTGAGTCTCCTTTTCGCTGGTTGCACCCTATTTTTCAACGATCTCGTCAGTTTCAGAATGCACAAAGAGTGTGTGAAACTGGACAAGCCTTTTTATGCTGGGATGATGATGCTCGATATCAGCAAAATACTAATGTACGATTTTTAATGCAATGAGCTTAAGAGCCAGTACGGGACCAAGTGCGAGCTCATCTATACTGACACAGACAGCCTCTGGCTGGAGATACAAACCGACCATGTCTATAAGGACATGGAAGCAAAAAAGAATTTGTACAACACAAGCGATTACTCCAAAGATCACCTGCTGTACAGTAGCACAAACAAAAAGGTTTTGGGGAAGATGAAAGACGAGATGAATGAAACACCAATAACTGAGTGTGTTTGCCTTCGACCCAAAATGTATTCCATTCTCACAGAGGAAAAAACATAAAAAAAGTAGAAAGGAACAAAAAATATGTGGTGAAAAAAGAGACACATTATGAACATTACAAAGAAGCACTGTTCACCAAAAAAATCTTTAGGAATGAAATGAACATGCCCTGCAGCGAGGGGCATGAGATCTGTGGGGAGGGGTGAACAAAATCGCGCTGAGCCCATTTGATTCAAAGTGATACATTGCACAAAATGGCATTGACACCTTTGCATATGGATACAGATGAACAGACGAGGAGTTGCATGAGTATGTCATATAGTTGCTGAAGGAAGAACAGAATTGAGGCAAAACCAACAACAACTTAAGAACAAAGCCTCGTTTGGGCCCATTCTTCAGATAATACAATATAGGTTCAAGTGGTTTGGTGACAGATGTTGTTCACGTTGAGTGACCAAATAGGATCAGTTGCACGCTTGTGCCTGCCTTCCAGCTCACCCGTTTGGTAAGATAATGCACGTAGACAAGAGTGGGAAATTTTTAATTCATTCCAACAGGTCTGTTATAAGAAGTCACAGGCTTTGCAGCAACAGCTCTTTCTTTTATGGCCTCAGCAAGCTTTTTGCCAGTGAAGCAGTCAACTTTGCCGTTCAGAGCCAACGTCAACGACTGTTAACACATATTTGTAAGCTCTTTGGCCCCGCCTTCCGCCCAGACTGTCATGTGAAAAAAAAAAATTAAGTCGGCTTGGTGAACTTTGTTTGGTCTGGGCATGTCAAACTTAAGCCGAGAAATGTGCTTTGGTGCAGGAATATCTATTTACCAAAGGGCTTGCTGCATAAGCCATTTTTTTCGCATCATTTTCAGAGACTTTGCAGTGGCTACAAGCTTTTTGATGGCAGCGATGCCTTTCCAGTAGGGCTGTAGTAAATTTCGAAAGTTTTTCGTCCATCCTATATTAATTTACGGTTTGAACTTTTGATTGTTCATTGCAAACCGACAGTTTCATTGGACTGCTAACAGCCAATTTCACCAGCACTGTGGTGAGCGTTACGAAAATAGCGACAAGAGGAGTGTAGTTACGCAACAGATGTGCACGTTCATGAACAAGACTTACTGCTTTCACAATAAAAGAAACAGTGACTTGCAACTTGATCGAGACAATCACCACTGCAAGTGCAGTCATCCAGCAGACCTTAAGCACCGTGAAGATATTCAGAGTAAGAAAACTGGCCATTCCTATATTATGACGCAGTTTGTCATACTTTCTACTTATCTGATTTGGAATTTCCATCCAGTGATAACTGATGAAGTCGTTAATCAAGGAACTCTTTTTCATTGTCGGGGTCGCCTCTGAGATAAAACCAGATCACATCAAGAGATTTTTTATACTCCGCACTTGTGAAGTTGGCTCTTTCGATTTTTTTGTCATCTTGCATTGCCCCTACCACAATTTTGACTATTACGCCAAACACGGTCAGAGAAGTTAACACAATGGGGTTCAAAGTAATGCCTCCAGTAACTGCTGAAGTTATCACGGCTTTGCCAGTGACGTTGCAAATCAGATTTTTTTCTTTGGTATAGCTGTAATGGTTTTTGTGGTAATAGGTGTAGACATTTTTCAATACATCACATGTCCCTTTGGACAGGGTTGTGTGGATGTGGTTGAAGTCAAAAATATTTTCCTGGGGGTCAACCATTGACATTATAACGAAAAAACCGAGAAAATTTAAGATTGAACTTCAAACAGAACCAACAAATCAGCTCGGGTTGTCAGGACCCTGAGGATAGGGTTTTCATTTCTAAGCGATATTCCTATTGCAAGTAATGCAATGAGATGCTCAGGTCGTCAATTTTCATGACATTTACACTGTCCTCAGTGCTCTACTCATTGACATCTTTCATTGGGTATTGGAATACATTTTTCGCCCTATGGGAGGCTTTGATGGTGCCACTTTTACCTTGTGGACCTGGGGGAGCCTTTGGTCTGGGCGGCCCCTGTTCATCTGTGTTACCCCTTGGCTCTTGAGCGCCATGTAGGCCTTGTGCTCCTGTATCACCCTTGGGGCCTTGTGAACCTGTGCCATCCTTAGGCCCTTGAGCGCCTGTTTCGCCTTTTAGGGCAGGACCCCCTGTGATCTTGCCTCACCTTTGGGACCCTGTGCCCCTGTATAACCTTTTGGTCCTTGACGTCTCCCTGGGCATGAATCACCTTTGGTTCCTTGTAACCCCCTTGTGGGCCATGTGGTCCTTCTGGTCCTCAGGGCCCCTGGGTGCCCGGTAGGCCTTGTGGCCTTGCGGGACCTGGTGGAACTCGAAGTTTCATCAATCGTGCTGTTGATGTACCCCATTATATAATTTCTTCGAAACTTTTTTCCTTGTTTCTTGCGGCTTGTCATGGTAAAACAATGAGTACAGTTTGTCTGTTGCTCTTTCCAAAATTTGTTGATCGATCCCATCTCATCAGCAATTCGGTGGTTTTCTCTTAGAAGGAATTTAAAAATACAAAAAGTACCGCCATCCGTGTTCGCCATTTCTTTGTCGCATCTTTGACAGAGCTCATTGGGCATTGTTTATCTACAGCTTTATAGCTTCAATTTGGAAAAAGCTCCTCAATAATCTGCAATGGTGTAAAAATTTCATTTTCCTCTTCTTCATCAACTAAAGGCTTTTTCTCCGTTCGTGAGGCTTCAGAAGCACTTCATAAACCTTTACTTGCAGAGACACAAACTTGGCCCAAATAAAAATGCTTTCAATCTTCAGGGCCAGTTTGGCCCAGCAGTGCTTGTCATGAAAATCGAATGGATTAACGATCTTGTCCTTTGTTCAAAAAGGGGCTGTAATGTCACTGCTAAACTATGGCATCTTGGCATAAAGAACGGGTGACCTTTCTTTCAGGATTTTTCCATTTTCATCTTTTTTGTTGTAAAAGGGGTTCAGATCCACATTTTTGTGTCCCATGCTTTCCAAAACTTTTTCACAGTGTTCTACGATCTCTTTCGTTTTTGCATAAAACTGCCTTTCTTCCCTACCGAGCCCCTCTTTCCCCCACAGACATACTGGCAGTGTTAACCATCAGCTGTCCTTTTTCAAAGTCTGTTTTTTTTGGATAACCCAAACAAAAACAAACAGGGAGTATTGATGATCAATGGCCCAGGTTCTTTACCGTAGTTGGTTGAAATTTTGATTTGTTGACAGGTTTTTACATGTTTGGGATTTTGTGGATGATCGGTACTGAAAAGAACATGTCATTGACATTGTAGTTTTCGAGGTTTGTGAGCCTTGCCATTGTAATATGCAAATAAACGCAATTGTCTAAATGGGTTGACCTTTCCTCCTCATGTTGCCCAATTTCATATAAACTGTAAATGAATTTGCCGGTTATGTGAGAAAATATAGCTTCTACACTCTAATAATAATTGATTTTGCTACTTATGACGAAACAGCCGAAAGTGGTTTTTGGCAATCTTTTCTTAAACAGCACAATCTTCTTGTGTTGGATGCACGAGACTCACCAACAGTAGGAGAAGTGTAACCTTTACAGACATACAAATATCAAAGGGAAAGCCCCCACGGAAGATGCAATCCCTTTTTTATGACCTTGAGTAGAAATCAATATTTATAACCAAGGTACACATGCGCCTTAACACTTAAAATTTTTCTTCCCACAACGAAGGGAAATTTAAAGGTGTGTCATAAAACGTCCATTTAAAAAGGAGATAGAACTGTTGTGTTGGTAAAAAAGCTAATGCCTTCACAATAAACCAAGATCAAAGCACCCTGTTATCATAGGCCAAAAACCCCGCAGGGCTATGATAACTTGTCGATGTCCAATGTGGCAAATGCGTGAGTGCACTTGGGAATCCTTAAGATGGTGGTGGGTTGTTGGGTAGAGCTATGCTCATCCCTGCAGGCGGTGGAAGTGCCGGTTCGACCTTAAATCAGAGGGATAAGGGTGGGGGAACTCTAAAATTGGTGTGTTCCTGGAGAATATCTGCGACACCCTACAAAAACAAAAATAATAACCGGAGTGTTCCTGGAGAATGTCTGGGGCAGCCCACAAAAATTATAATAAAATAGAAAACCTCTTAAGAGGGACTAGGTGGGGGTTGGGGATTGGGGTTTGGGGTTTGGGGGTCCCTCTTGAGAGGTCTGGTGGCCACCAGTTTGCTTTTATTACGGTTGCTTGTGAACCGGCTTGAACTGCAGCCATGTGAAAAATTTGTTGGTTGAGGCGCGTCTCGATAATTAAGATACATCTTATTTTAGGGAGTTGAGGGAGTTGAACAAGGTAGAAAACTTCGGTCCAGCTTTTGTGCAGCTGTGTAATCCGAACTACAAGCGTAAAACAACCCAAAACCACCCTGAAAATTTTTGCAGTTACCAATAACAGAAGCTGAAAATTGTAGTCGCTAATTTTTAGAAAATACACTTGTGAATACACAAAGCGTGTGCAAGGTAGCCGGAATTTTTCTTGGGTATATCATTATTTTCACTATCACGTACCTTCTCTATTATTTTCTAAACAAGGTATTCACGAGTCACCCATAGTTTTTACTTTGATTTAGTTTATGACCTACAACTGCTACATTGTATTAATAACCCATCTACCACTGAATGTGGCTACTGCTTTACTTTTGCAGAATACTGTAAAAATATGCAGTATCCAATAGGCCCGTCTTATGGCATTCAATGCCACCCAAACGTGTATGCATACTACATGTCAGCTATTATCGGTTTGTTTTAAAACACTTTACTGCATTTGAAAGCATACCTATCAAGTGAAGCAGAGAACAGATGTCGGTGTTCTCCATCAAAAGAAATGGATGTAATGGTTTTCTGATGGTTTGAAAATCCTGTCAACAGTCTGCCACCTCCTAAAAGATCCCATACTTTTATCATGTTGCTTCCTGCAACAAAACAAATAGAGGCAATCTTAATTAATCAATAGCTCTATAGATGTTAAAGCAATCCATATGCAAAACCCAGAATACACGAAAAAAGGATGTAGAAGTAGGTAGAGAAGATCCAGATGTAATGCTTGTGAATTGAATTTCATAAAGTAGACGCTGTTTTCATACTCAGTCCGGAGTAGTCAATCGATAAAAGTCGGTATCGATTTATCAATCAATGAATCGATAAAAATCAATAAATTTGATTTGATTGATATTGATTGTATTGATCAATCGGTAGAAATTGATGATGCACTCGTTTCGTTCATCAATTCATCTTGATTTTCCCCGATTTCCTCGATTTATATCAGAAGATACATCTGTTCATCTGATCATCAAAAACTGAAAACTGAATTCATGCAAACAGTAAATTTATTGACAATTGAGTAGCAACTGAGAGTCAAAGGAACAAACATCCTTCAAAATAGTGTTCGTGTAGTTCCGGGTGTAGTTACATCCCGAATTAGTCAGACTAGTCAATAGATAAAAATCGAAATCGATAAAAATAATTAGCAATCAAGTGATTTTTATCGATTGATAACAGAAAATGGTGGAAATCTGTCAAGGAAAATCTTTTAGCCTGAATTTCGGACATCCCTTCGACTTGAAAGAATGTCTGAAATTAAGGCTTAGGTTGTATTTCTTGTGATACTTACCTGCGAGAACTGAACGTAAGTAGGCCAACCCGTTGTTGTTATGTACAAAATAAAGAGTTTTAGAGAGAAACTTATGTGTGTAATAGTTTCCACATTTCTCTTTTTCATGTTTGCTGATTAGTTGTTACTCGTGGATGTTTCCTCAGCTGTACTATCTAACTCACGCCAAAAAACAACAATGGCGGACTTCCGTTATAAATTGTTCAGTCATGAAAAATCGATCATATTGATTTGACACAGCAATTATGTTTATTGATTTTTGCCGATTTTCATTATCAATCGCTAAAAATCACTTGATTGCTACCGATTTTTATCGATTGACTACTCCGGGTACTCAGTCATTCAAATTCGTACTATTCTTGAAAAATATTTTAAAGATAGCACAAATACTACTAGGTATATCTTCCAGTGAAGTGACAACGAGCAAAACGTTTTTGCTTTGTGCAGCAATCCAATGATGTTTTCTGAACTGCAACATTGAGAGTTTTGTAGTCCCCTTCTGTTGCTAGGATTATTTTCAGATTCCTGGAGGTTAGACTCAAGGCCATCTGCATTTGCAGATGGTGTCATTTCTGGGTCTTTTTTAATTTTAAGGAGGCAAATGCTCATTATTTGGGCGGGGCACCATATGGAGCAGTTACAATAGGTCTGTAAGCAAGATAGAGCATGCCAAGCCTTGCCTAGCCTAGCCTGCGATTGCGTAGCTTGCGGTTGTCACTCCTTGATGCCCAAAAGTCACAAACACATCTGAATTCGCAGGTTCAATGTAGGGTTGATGAGGGGTCGACGTTTTGGAGGCAAAATAGAAATAAACAGAAATAAATTAATTGTGGAAAAACAGGAGGGATGGGTAAAACATTGTCTTTCGTTTCTACAAGAGCTAGTTTTCCTTTGCCCTCATTAATATACATGATTTGCGCGCCAAGAATCATTGAACCGGAACTAGCACAACCACAGTGGCAGAAAATAGAACTTGCATAATTATGTTACAGCTCAGGCGAGTTTAACTTTATTCCTCAGCCTCAATGTATTAACCAATGACAACGTTTCATATTTCCTAATTAACCAATCGAAAACGAAGACATTTATCGATCTTAAAGTAACTAGAAAACCTGTTAGATCGCTTAAACTAACAAAAAATAGAACACGACCTAATCGTAATGAGATTCCTACGCATTTTATTCATGAGATAAAGAAAAAAGGTTATGACCGCATTGGCGTTACTGTATTCCTGCGCCAAAAAGGAGTTAACTTAATCCCACCTATACTTCTTATTTCTGCAGTCCAATCGTTTAAGCCAGTTTTACAATATTGCTACAGGAATGAAACTACTGGCGAACATGCACTTTATGTCATTAATTTAATTGCCTTTTAACCATTTCGTTTTTACCTGCCCGGGTTTCGAAAAAAAATAGAGTTGTTCCATCTACCTCTGTGTTACCTTTAGGCTTATTGTTCTCACATTGTTATTTTTCGTTTGCTGCTTTGATTCTTCACATGATTCAACTATCCAGTTAAAGTGATATTTGCAATGACCCATCTCGACTTTTTCCTTCAGAACAAGCATTCCTCGTCTCATCATGTAATAATCGGATTGTTTTTGGTGGTGGGAATTGATGACCATTACTTACGTACTTGGGTGAAGCGACAAGTAAAGGATTCACGAAGCTCAGGAATGGTCTAAAGTTGCTCCTGAAGTGAGACCGGAATTACGTCGAGATACCTCCATATCACTACCAGTTCTTTAGGCTACAGTAAATATTACAATATACTGGAGGAATAAATAATTATTTGTATTGGCTTACCCAGGGTTTGAACCAACTCACCTGCATTCCGTCAGATCAGACACCAAGTTTGTACGATTAGCTGATTGCACCACCACGACCCAATGTGGTTTGTCATGTGAAAATTGGCTATAATATCATG